CATCAGCATCCCCTAAACCTCCTATATCTCTAGGAGGACGGCATGGAGGTGAAAACCATGTTCCAAGAAGAGGGTGTTTTCCTTATCTGCCCACCTGATCTCACGTTACTCACATGACCTTTGACATAGTTCCCTGCAAATGCTGCCCCTGGTTTTCCTGTATGATAATTAGGCACTGTACTACAACCAGTCAATCCCCCCTCCCCTTTCTACATGACAGGGTCCTCCTGCCACATGTAAATAAAGCAGACTACGAACACTTATCAAGTGAAGTTTGGCTGCCGTCCTCACCCTGTATCTTCCCTCCAAGTCCCCTAAATAAACAAGCTGTCTCACTGAAGCTGACTCCTGGAAGTTCTTTTGGTCATTCTCACCACCACCCTGACCCTATTCATCGCTTCTGCTCCCTTTGTTCTCATGGATCGGTGGGCTGAGGGAATAGAGACCCACACTCAGTGATATTGTTTGGATATGGATAGAATCCATATATCCACAGATAACATAAAAAAGCTTTGGAGGGCGTAACTGGCAAGAGAGCTTTTTCTGAGAGCTGCTGTAGAGCTGGCACCCACTGACTCTGCTCCTCCTCCCACCATGTGCGTAGAAGAGAGACTGGATGATTTCCCCAAACATCGTGCAGCGTCCCCTCCCTTTGTCCTTCAGAGTTTCTTGTGTCGGAACCCTGGTCCCTGGTGTGGACGGTGCTAAGAGATGAAGGAAGGAACCATTAAGATGTGTCTGTGGGAGGCGGTTAGGTCACTGAAGAAAGTGCCCTGAGAACTCTTTCACAATGAGTTAGTTCTCAGGAGACTGGGTTGTTAGAACAATATGATTGGTTCCTGGGTAGTATCTTTGGCCTCCAGTATTACCATGTGACTTCTTCCTCTCCTAGTTTCCCAGAAGCATTTAGTGCCTGTGATTTAATTGAGGTTTTCTCTAATCTGCTTGTACTAGATTAGAAACTTCTGGAGGGCAGAAGTTTCCCATAGCTGTACCCCAGCTCCTAGCAGTGATACCAGCAGTGTCACTGTGTTGTAGGTTTTTTGTTGTGACACAAGTACTGTATAGGTGAAAAATTAATTTTGGTTCATAGTTTCAGAGATTCAATACCAAGACTAAGGTAATTTCTGTAAGATTGATTGATTCTCTGGGCTATCATGGACTAAGCCAATGGTAGGCTCACACACACTCTGTGCATGTCCCCCTGGCCCAACCCGGGAAATAATCATGTACTGTTGAGGGGAAGCCCTCTTGTGTCCATGCCTGATGTATGCTTTGTTAGCTGCTTATCCTGACTGCTAGCCATTAACCTGCTGGTCCTCAACCTTGAAGGTGTCTTGCTGACTGTTCAATAGACTAAGCCCTTTTGCTGTCATATTTATGTGACCAGCTTATAACTTTACCACAGCAGGGTGCTAACCCTAACACACCTACCAAGATGTAACTGCAGTCTTTTGTGATTACATCATATCTGTCTGGGGCGATCTGGAGTAGGTGGAAGCTTCATATTAAGAGCCATCATTACCCACAGTTAGCCTGTTAGATTAGAAGCAAGACTATGTGAAAGGGTAACAGTGTCTTGCATAGGATCCTCAGGGCTTCACAGGAGTCAGCGATCCAGACTGCCAACACAGAACTTGCTTCCCAGGGCCCCTGTCTTCTCTGGTTTGGCTGTCCCATACCCAGTTGTAGGCTCTCTTGTTTATATTCCGCAGTGTTCCTGAATTTACTGTTTTAATTCTAAGCTTCCATTTAACCCTAACACCTCTTGTTACCATAACATTTGTGGTCAACATGTAGTTTTCACCATAAACAAACCATTTTTCTCTTAATAGCTACAGAAAGTTAGATCCTGCCTTATAAGGATAATTGAGGGCCCATAGTCCTTTTCAGCATCAGCCAGTCATGCTGCAGTGACCAAGTACTCCTCACAGTGCTGTTAGAAGAGGAAGAAGTTTCAGCTGATCTTCCTCTTTGGTGGATTTGGAGAGGTACTGAGAGTCTTCCTGGGGAGACATGAGCGTGTCTGTCCACACCAAGAAATGATTCCACTGAAGTCTGGTTTGGTGGGGTTACTTACAGAAGCATGAGTCGCTCAGATAGGTGCATTCCCCTAAAGCACACCCCACCTCCATGACCACTCATTAAAAGCATCTCTAGAGCTCCCTCTACAACCTGAAGACAGGTCCACTGAAGTCTCCTCTCCCTTAGCCGTTGGAGGTTACTGATGGATGGGCTTCTTGAGGCTTGCAACCTTAAGAGTTCTTATAACTTTCTTCTGCTATCCTGAACTGCCGCCTCTCTCTAAGAGGGAGCTTTTCAACCCAGAGGAAACAGTCACACAAATAAAGGAAATGACTTAGTCCTCTGAACATTTCACAGATAATGTTAAAAAGCTCTGGGGGGCGTAATTGGCAAGAGAGCTTTTTCTGAGAGCTGCTGTAGAGCTGGCACCCACTGACTCTGCTCCTCCTCCCACCATGTGCATAGAAGAGAGACTGGACGACTTCCCCAAACATCCTGCAGTGTCCTCCCTACCTTGGAAGCTCAGGCAACAAAGCCCTAATCACACACCAGGGATGTGCCCTGGACTGCCCAGCAACTGCCCTCAGGCTGAGTTGTTTTTGGACATCCACCTACCGATGTTCCCCCTTGTTTTCTTTACACATGAAATGAGAGACATTGTAAATGGGCTCTGTGAAGCAGGCTCTCTCCAGGACACATGGATCTGAAACCCCTCCCCACTATCTTGGCCTGGGTGAGCACATTGTTCCAGGTGTACTTGGCACAGGAAATAGCTGGAGATTTGGTTTATTCCTAGCATGCTATGGTGGGATGGGGGAGTCAGAGAAGCTTTGAGATACAGTCATATTCAGGGCCCTGAGCAGCCTGAAGCAGTGTGTGGAAGAGAGTGTCTCAAGGACCAGTTTATATTTAAACAAATTGGCGCTGATACAGAAATCCAACAAGGGTCAAAGTGACTATCGCCGAGCATCCAGGGGGCAATGAATCAGCACAAGATGACAGACACCAGATGTCTTGGGAACTCAAAAGTAGACAGTGATGAAATATGTTATATAACTATCCTTGGTAGAATACCACTTTTGTGTGATTCTGTGTTTGGCCTAGATGTCAGAGGTGAGGGCCTTTACTTTCACCTACCTGCTTGTGTGTTGGTCTGTATGTGAACCTGTTCCTGCCTGTGTGTGGTCTCTGTGTGCCAGTGTGTGCCTGGGTGCCTGTCAACATCTGCCTGCCTAGTGACCTGTGTGTTAGTGAATAAAGTATACATTTTATTGGTCTTTTTGAGACAGGATTTCCCTGTAGCCCCAGCTGACCTGGAATTCACTATGTAGACCAGGCTGGCCTTGAACTCTCTGCCTCCCAAGTGCTAGGATCAAAGGCGTGTGCCACCATGCCTGGAAAATATATCTCATCTGTCCATGATTCTCCCAATTCTCTTCAACCTCTCGTCTTCCCATGATCCCCCTCCTTTCCTGGCATTGGAGCTTGGACCTTACAAACTGTGGCCTTCAGTGACCACAAAGAAGGGAGGTTGTAAAGGGGGAGACACGCACCTCTGGAAACCGTCTTCCCACCTAAGAATGGCCAGAGCCACTTTACAGCTTCAGGGATATGGCCAGAAGCAGGACAGACAACAGAGTATATCCCCACTGCAGGGCCACACATCTGCCCAAAGGTCCTGTAGGACCTGGGGAAAGAGAAGAAAGAGCATCCAGGAGCCAGGAACAGTAGGAGGCAGAAATCCAGCATGAGTGCTTTTGGTTTCTCTGGCCTCCTACTGGGGCTCCCTGGGGTTCTGAAGAAGAGTTCATTTATTTGGTTTGGGGGAAGGCAGGGAAAGACCAATGAGATCTAGTGATACAAAGGGTGCTATACTGAGGTTTAGGAAACCGACAGCTGGGTGTCAAGAACAGTTTCTAAAGCAGGGAAGATACCTAAATGCACAATTCCTAAAGGGTATGGCTGTTGATTGCTATTTACTAAGCTTGGGTCTCCAAAAAAGAACTCTAGTGTGGAAGCTGGGAAGGGTCAGGAAGGGATGGCAAGGAAGAGCCAAGGCATTGATGTCTCTATCAAGCACTAATTTAGATATTGAACATACAGGACTGGGATTAGTCAGCTATGTGAGGAGGAGTCTGATGGGCTAATTGTTACACCTCTGCACCAGCACGGCTCCCTTGGCTGTGTTACTCTTTTTTTTTTAAATTTTTTTTTTTTTTAATGTGTATTGCCTGCACTTGTGTAAGTGCACCTGTGTCATGTCGTGCGATGCCCATGGAGGACAGAAAAGGGCATCGGATCCCTGGAACTGGAGCTACAGATGGTTGTTAGCTGCCATGTGGATTCTGGGATTTGAACCCAGGTCTTCTGCAAAAACAGTCCTCTTATCTGCTGAGCCATCTCTCCCAACTGTGTTATTCTTATCGGTCAGTGCCCAAGGTATTTTCACTGTCGTTCTAGGGTTTGCCTCAATGACTGCCTCTTATACCCTAGAAGACATGCTTCCCTGATCTGTGGGGGGCCCTCAGGATATGACCTAGTGGTGACAGCCCAGAGTTGAGTCCTGAGAGGGAGAGCACTGTGCCTCGATAGGTCCAAACCTGAGGAAGCAGAGCCCCAGACAGGCCTCCAGCTTTTCAGAGCCCATCCTGGAGGACCAAGATAGAGGTTAGGTATGGGAGGAACACCAGTCCTGAAAGGTCAAGAGTTGAGAGAAAGTTCTGGGCTTAGCTGGTGTAAAGAGAAGGGCCTAGGCATGGCAGGAGCCCCTGCTCCAGAACATCTCCCCTGAGTGTCCTGAAATCCCAGGAAGCAAGATCTCTTAGAAAGTTTAGATGGGAGATATTATATCACCCCACCTGTGAGAAGAGTCCTTGAACCCGGTAACCTGAATTTGGTCCTTACTCATGAATCTTAGATAAGTGACTACAGCTGTCCACCCTGGTTTCCCCACCTGGTGGGATAGACTAGGGCAACGTGGGACAATATAAGGGCTCAATAAAAATGTTAGGTTTAGAGAATAAAAAAGTGGTGGGAAAGTGGCATGTGGAGAGACAGGAAGTTAATCAGTAATGAATACAGAGGGGAGCCGTGCTATAGGGCCTCTTTGGACAACCAGAGGCAGCATATGGGAAGGTCTGGAATGCTGAGGCAGGGCAGGAGAAAAGTGTGACCACAGTGACTGAGGCTAAAAACAGCAGTGATTTAGAGCTAACCAGCCTGCCCTTCCTCCCTGATATCAGATGACCTCAGGGAGCTGCCAGTTGCACTGATGTCCCCCTTGGCAAGTACACCCTCCTGCTCCTCACTCTTTAG